AATCCGAGAGCCGTAATTTTTTTTTTTTTTTTTTTTGCTTTCCTCTACGATAAGACGTCGCGATTAGGTATAACTTATTCATTAGGATTTCCACAATTTTACTTCACATTAATAAAAACGTATCGCTATCGTTGGCGGATATTTCCATCTTTAAATTTATTAGCACGGTCTTAATCGCGTATTTCTTTTCGCGGCGAGCTCTCTAGAGGGGACAAAAGTTATTTCAATAATTCCCTAAGGTATACCATTGGTTCGCAACCAGGCTTGCAAATTTTTGTAATATTTTATAAAGTACTAGCGAGGCCATAAAAAAAACTTTACGTCTGTGAAACTGGTAAAACTAGCATGAAGTTCCGCTGTATCGCGGGAGGAATTTCTTGTACGGCCGGCGGAAAAATCCGCCGCTGCTCTTTTCTTTTCCAATTGTCTCACTTGTATTTTATTTGGAACACACGTATCTATAAGTTACTGGAAATACTCGGAATGAGTATTGTTCTATAAAGTATGATACTCGGTCTGTTGTAAGGATTTTTTTCTAATCCACCTCGAGAAACTCTTCTTGCGTGCATCTTTTTCTCTTTAATTCTGTTTATTTGATATTCCATGTATATAGTATATTGCGTTTTTTTTTTTTTTTTTTTTTTATGAGTGAAAATGATCAGAAATGCTATTTGTGTGTAAATTACACATTGCAAATGTTAGAAATTAGATGCGGTCTAGTCAGTTTAGAAAAAAACTCCATTTTTTTTTTTTTGTTAAATGCCTCGAAATATCTTTAACGTTCGAATGACTTGGACAGCTGACTTGGTTAGCCGGTTTGTATTAGATTGTTGCTAGAAACTTCCGTGATGTGCAACACGAGGGAATCGGGGGTAAATAAAAAGACCGCAAAGCTTGCGGAGCGTGCGAATCGGAAAGAGCGCAACGAGTAGGGCGGCGGTTTGCGGCGATCGCAGACGCGATGAAGAGGATCTCTGCTTCTCCTACCATGAAGCCCTAGTTTACTTTGGCGTCGTCAGTGCTCTCTCCTTTGTACAGAAAGTGTCATAGCGACTCTCGATCAATGCTACTGTGTTCAGAGAGAGTTACGTTTCTCTTACTATCTAGCTGAACCAGCAAACATCCGTGCTTCTGTGCCGACTGCAAGGATTAGTTCAGCTAACTCTATCTCTAATAACGGACAATTGGCTTGAGTCAAGTACTTTTTTTTTTTGTTATATTTTTATATAAGATATTTTACAATTTGTAAGACTTAATTGTCACTGACGTGAACGGCGTTCTGAACTTTTATATAAACTTTTATATAATATATTTTTATTTTCTTTAACAAGAATTGATGAATATGAAATAAATATATATATATATATATATATATATATATATGTTACTAGTAACACAAACGGCGAAAAAAAATGTAATATTTTGAGTAATAAGTTTCTCCCTTAGGACTGCCTTTGTTAAATACTAAAACTTTTTATTCTCATATGTTTGATATTTAATTTTGATTTATTAGAAAAGTAAAGTTAAATTTACGAGATGTGGAACTGTGGATTCTGTGGATATTTGTTTGCCAACTTTTACATTTGGAAGAATTAATGTACAGGAAATTAGCTTATAATTTATTAATTTTGATTTGCGTTACATTTATTTAAGTCAATTATCAAAATTCGTCGTTAGGAATATCCGTAGGAATATTTGAAAGACAATTCACAGAGATCGGAGAGATATTAGCAAGCATAGCGACATTGCGCGCATAAATTTAGAAAATGCGAATTTGGATAGTTTTGTTGACTTTATGAATAATAAATTTGGTATGACGATAGGACCGCACGCGCGGTAGGTAGGTTGATTGAATTCGTCGTTTGCCAAACAATTCCACAAGTGAATTCGTAGGCTAATTTGCGTAACAAAATGTCCCTAATTTGTATGACGCGCTGCTGCTTCACCACATCGCGAGCATAAACTGCATTTTATCAATAGTACTTTTGTGCAAAGTACATTCTACATTCTATTCATAAACGAATTATTTCGTTGTTATGACAAATAGGTCAAGAATTATAATTGCGATCTATGTAGTTCATGCGGTTAAATTATTTAGATAGTGTCCTCATTTTTTTTAAATATTTGAAGAGGCAAGTTTAATAGTTGCATGAAAGAGTTTCTTTGAAAGAGTTTTTGCAATAAAACGGTACGATTTAAAATAACGTCTAAATAATAAACACGTTTTTCCTATTTGCGTGCGAAATAGCTTTACTCTCATTATGTATCTGATTGATCTTGTAAAATATGAATAGCAACCTTTTCAAGCACGTTTCCGTTCTATAATGATTGGCGTATATCGAATGCTGTAACAACGCAGCTTGCAATCTCCCATTGGGAAAAGAGTAATTGTGTTGGGATCGGTGTGCAATTGAGTTCAAAATTGCAATATGCTTTTTATTTGCGTGTGTCAATACAAATTGGTACGAATATAATTGTAACTATAATTAAGTTTAAAATTTAAAATCTATGGTATAAAAGAGTAAGGTCAACTCGATTTAGCAATTTTGCATTTAGTATTCAATTTTATTTTAGTTTTCATTTTATTTATAAATTCTTTTATTATATCGATCTTGCTCGCATATTTAATTGTATAACCCTTTTAATAAGGAGCTGCAGCAGTTTGTGTTAGCACGAACTCCGATTCATACGCGACATATTGAAAATTTTCTGATTGTCTTTTTTTTTTATTTCGTTGATTTTTCTGATCGACCATTCGCCATGCTGTTTGGATGCAATAACGCCGCGCCATACAATATCCGCGCGTGAAGAGAGTAATTGCGCTGGGATCGGTATGCAGATGAGCTCCAAACCGGATTCTGTTTTTCATCGATGAAGTCAATATTACGAAATAGTACGGGCGTCTCGGTAAACCGATGGTGGTACAAGGGAAAGTAGGTATAACTTCTACAAGATGTTACCGAATTCGCCAGAATTCCGTAGCCTTGGGATGAACCGAGCGCCGTTATATAGTAATTAAATTTCCTCGTTGCACTCCTTGCAACGAGTTATTTTGTAAAAAAATTTGTAAACTGCAATTCAATCTTGTCTGTTTTCCGTCGTATTCGATATGTATTCGTAGGCATCGTTTTTTCCCCATTGCCGCCCTGGCTCATTATTATCGTTGTTCAGAAACTCCCCCGTAGGCATGTAGTAAAGCGGCAACGCTTCGAATTATCTGTAAAATTGCATTTGCGTCATTTCGAGATCCCACGATTTAGCAACGAACCCTTAGTACCTTTAGGTAATTTTATCCCATGGACTGCATTAATATTTTGAAATGACTGTTACGTATGCATGTTCATTCTGTGTTCTACAAGGGATTACTAATTATTGAAATTAACTTTACTTATATTTAATTAATTAATAATTCTATTCAATGCATTTGAATTATGGTCTTGTGGAATACAGTTATACGATGGTATTTTTGTGGTTATCACTGGAGTTAATGAGATTATAATTAATGCGATAAATATTTGTCTTGCTCCACATTGCTTTAATTAATGTGTGGCAAATTATGGAAACCCTGATATAAATCAGATTAAAATCTTGTAAGAACAAAGATAAATACGCAACGCACGCAAGCTCGTTTATCTCTGCAGGAAAAAGCAAATATTTTTTATACGAAATATTATTTATTCTCATTTAATTTTTACTTTATTAATAATCGAGATTCAGTTTTGATAAAGCAGATAGTTTTCATTTATTCTTTGACAAGAGAAATAATATCTTTATTATTAATCTATTTTTTTATCACACAATTCGCTTTGATATATTGAAATTAGCACTGTATAATTGTTGGAAATTATTTTTCACAATTATTCCAATTGCAGTGAAATAATTTAGTTTAAAAATGTCAAGCACGATAATAATGTCTTTGACATTAAAATTTAAAGTTTTATTTTTTTTTCTTTCTTTTTTTTTTATAGAAACTAATTAACATGAAGACGCACGATATGTTTCGCACACATTATAGAAACGTATATATATCTATGTTGTATGGTATAGTTAATATCAATTTACTTACCTATTCAGGTATCATATATTGTTGTTTACTGCCAAGTAATAAAAAAACTCTGTACAACTCTGTAAAACTCTTTGTCTTTGACTATTAAATTAACATGAACTAATCTCTAAATTAACATGAAAATACAAGTTTAATACATGCTTTGTTATATAATGTAAAAGTATTTTTTGCAATATTTATTATTTTAAAATAAAACATATATATATATATATGATGTATATATTAATCATTTTCTAAAGTAAAAGATATATTTTTTAAAATAATTTTTATGAAACATGTATGTGAATATTCCTTTAGGATTTAATATGAAATATCGAGGATTATGTAAAGAATAGAGGATAATAATATGACAAAGGCAAAAAGAAAAAATATTGACGAACATGCATCTTTGTACATCAGTTT